GAGAGAGAGAGAGAGAGAGAGAGAGAGGGAGAGACAAAGGGAGAAGGGGAGGGGGGAGAGCCACAAGTACAAATGCAGGATCAGGGTAGGATGGGTACAAGGAAGGGAGTTTGTGCTGCCTTTGTAGAAAAGGGTGAGGCCTGCCAGGTGGCATGACAATGAACGGGGAGTGGGGGAGTGGGGGAGTGGGGAGAGTAAATGGAACAACAACTATTCAGTCTACTCGCTAACAACAAACTAAAACCTCCCAAACATGACAAACTTCCTCAACCCTCCCCAGAAAGTGGACCAAAAGGACAAAGTTGATCTGTGAAGCCTACATCTCTTGGTGAGTTACTACAGACAGCTATGTGCAGGTGTGGAGAGAGCACAGTTGTGCCAATAGCTGACAGGATGTCTGATAGTGACAAGTCACTTCCACACGGCCAGTCGCTGACTGCCACACAGTGACCTCACGCACTTGGACCTTGCCAAGACAACCAAGCTGGCATGCGGTTCACTAAAACATCCTTCACCAATACATGTCCTCCAAATTCTTTATCTACAACAAAATTCTCACAAACACACTGTACAAATTTCAACACCACAACAGAACAACGATCAAAGTCACTTTTTCAAGTATGAAAAAAAATCAAATTCTAAAGTACCCAACACACTGTACTGTGATGGGGGTTTTCCCTGAAGGCTTCCATCCAAAAGTGTCTCTGACTCAGGACTGTGTCCGTTGTTCACTGACAGGATTAGAGAGTTGTCTATAGAAGGAGTGTCCGTCGTTCACTGACAGGATAAGAGAGTCGTCTTTAGAAGGAGTGTCCGTTGTTCACTGACAGGATTAGAGTCGTCTATAGAAGGAGTGTCCGTTGTTCACTGACAGGATTAGAGTCGTCTATAGAAGGAGTGTCCGTTGTTCACTGACAGGATTAGAGAGTCGTCTATAGAAGGAGTGTCCGTTGTTCACTGACAATGGATGGAGTGTTCATATTGAAGGCAATAACTCAAGAATTTCCACTTAGTGACTTTAAACGTTTCTCTGCTGTGGTCTTCATTAACATTTGCACCAAGAACATCCTGATATCAATTAAAATGCAGAAACCAGTGATCTGCACGACAGTCACACCAGTTTTTCCCACAAAGACCTAAATTCAAAACCCAACTCCCTCTAAAAAGTTCCCATAAAACTGAGAAATCCCAGGTCAGGAGCCCACAGCAAACTAACATTCGACCTTTTTTTACTCAAAGTATGTGTTCCTGAATCTCAAAGAAAAAGTTCCCCAACCAGGAGGGATTCTCCAAGGCCGGGCAAACAGTGACACGTCAATGAAGAAATGAGATGGGAAAACACATAGGAAATCTTCTTCTTCTTCTACACAGTTGAGTCATACTATC